CTTAAGCCCAAATGATTTTGTGTCTTCAGCAACAGGACCTGACCTTCAAGTTCTCAGAAGGTTGTAAAAATCGTCTATGTTATTTTGGGAGTCTCTTGGAGCACTCTGCCCAACAACTCAAAGGGATGCTTCCTTGCCTGGCAAGGATTTTTCATACATAATCTTCATCTTAATGATGATGCATTATATATTCTACATGAGTTTTCAGTGAGATTATGAGATAACACACATTCCTCTGGTTTTCACAGAAATTTGGGATTATTTAACTCTCCTCTCATTCCGTGTGAGGAACAGCCCTCCTATTCCCTCTGTAGTTTACGTATCACCCATTTTCCGATTTCTCTTAGTAACAACTTGTCCACTATAGTGCTCTCTCACATTCTTTACCCCCTCTCTCTTCATGTTTACAAACGTCCTGGCTCTCAGGGATACTTCAGAATGTACATTCTCATCTGAGGATGTGGAGCTAGGACCACAAATGAGACAGACATCCTTTCGTTTCTCTGAGTAAGGCTTGCCTTACTCAGTGTAACAGTGTCTAGTTCCATACAGTCACCGGCAAATACCATTACTTCATCTTTCCTTAATTCTGAGTAGAACTCCACTGTGTTAATTTATCACATTTTATTATGCATTCATCACTTGAGGGGCATTTATTTGTTTCTATTCTCAAGATGTTACAAAAAGAGCATCAACAGAGCCAAACGAGAGTTCACCATAGTGGGATATTGAGCCCCTTGGGTGCATGCCAAGGAATGTTATAACCAGATCATATGGTAGATTTAGTTTTTATATATATATTTTATTCATTATTATTATTATTTTATGTGTATGAGTATATTGCCTGCATGTAGGTAAGTGCATCCATGTCATGCAATACCCGCAGAGGACAGAAGAGGCTGTCGGATCACCTGGAACTGGAGTTACTGACAATTGTCAGCTTCAATGTGTGTGCTGGGATTCGAACCTGGGTCTTCTGCAAGAATAACCAGTGTTCTCAGCCACTGAGACCACTCTTCAGTCCTATTTTTAGTTTTTAAAGGCTTCTCCACAGCACTTTTAATATTGGTTGCACCAGTTTACAATAACACCAGCAGTGAATGAGGACTTAACTTTCCCTACGTCCCGGCCAGCATTTCCTGTCAGTTTCTTAAATCCTCAACATTCTAACTGGAGTAAGACGAAATTTTAAATTAGTTTTAATTTGTATTTCCTTAAAGACTAAGGGTGTGACCCCTTTCTAATGTATATCTGAGCCATTCGTTTCTTCTTTACAGAACTTTCTTCAAATCAATTGACATTTTTAATCTTTTGTTTTCTTATTTGTGTCGGATTTTTTCTGTAGATTTTGTAAATTAATCCTTTATCAGATGGGTAGTGGGAAATGCTCTCTTCCGCTCCGTGGTCTTCCTCCCTGCTTGATTGCTCCCACTGATCAACAGAATCTTTTTAGTATGAACAGGTTCCCTTTGCCAATTGTTGGCCTTAATTCTAGAGCAATTGATGCCCCAATGAGAAATCGTTTTCCTGAAGCTCTATCTTGTAGGACAGTGGCCATATTTTCAGTCAAAGATCATCAGTGGTTCAGATTCCCCAGTGAGCTCTTTTAACCACTTGAAGCTGATTTGGGGACAGTGTAATAGATGTGGATATAATATCCTTATTCTGCTCTAGGAGATCCAATTTTCTAGTGACATGTGCTGAAGCTGCTCTCTTCCCCCAGTGTGTGTCTTTGTCAATATCAGGTGACTGTAATTCATGCCTGGATCTTCTCTTTTACTCCATTACTCTATGTGTCTGTATTTGTAGAAATGCTATGTTCTTTTTGTTATTATTTCTCTGTAAATAGTATGAAATCTGGTACAGTAATCTCTCAAACATTCACTTTGCTCAGGATTGATTTGGCTAACTGGGGTCTTTCATTCTTCCATAGGAATTTTAGAGTGATGTTTTCTATTTATGTAAAGAACGTTGTTAGGGATCTTGAGTGGGATTGCAATGAATTTGTACATTGCTTTTGATAGGATGGTCATTTTCACAATATGAATTTTACCAGTGCATAAGCCCAGGAGATGTTTTCATCTCCTAGTATCTTTCTGAATCTCACTTTTTAAAGATTTAACTCATTCATTGGAGAGATCTTTAACGTCTTTAGTTAGGTTTATTTCTACCCATGTACTTTTGAGGCTATTGTGAAGAACACAGATTCCAACATCGCTTCCTCTGAATGCTTGTTATGGGGAAAAAAAGTTGGAGAAATTTGTAGATTTATTTTGCATCATGCCACATGTTGAGAGTGCTGATCATTTCCAGAAGTTTTCTGGTGGCATATTTGGTTTCTCTTATGTTTGATATTATATCAGCTGCAAAATGGGATAACTTGACTTCTTTTCCAATTTGTAACATTTTAATTTATTTTGCTTGTCTTAAAGTTTCAAGCTCTATATTGATCAAGGATATGGGAGAGTGGACACCCTTCTGTGAATCCTGATGGTAATGGGAATGCTTCAAGGTTTTTCCCTTTGGAATGATCTTGAAGATGGGTTTGAGGTATATAGTGTTAATTATGTTGAGGTGTATTCTCTCCAATCCAACTCCCTCTAGGTCATTTATCATAAATGCATTTTGGATTTTGTCGAATGTGTTTTATGTATCTAGTGAGATGATCATGTAATATTTTGTCTTTAAGTTTATTTGTATGATTTATTAAATTTACTGATTTAACAGTATTGAACCAACCCTGCATTCCAGGAAGAAAACTAACTTGATCATGCCAGATATTATAAAACATGCAATGCAAGTATTTTGTTGATAACGTTGGCACCTCTGTTCATTAGGGATATGGACCTATATATTTTAATTGCTGTAGTAGTGCTTTACCTGGTTTTGGTATTAGAGTAACTCAGGCATCATAAGAGTGGTTTGGGAGATTTCCTCTATTTTGATCTTTTTGAATAATTTAAACAGTATTGGTTTTAGATCTTCTTTGAAGCACTGGTGGAATTCTGTTGTAATCCATCTAAACTCAGACTTTTTACACAGCTGATTGGTATTAGAGTAACTCAGGCATCATAAGAGTGGTTTGGGAGATTTCCTCTATTTTGATCTTTTTGAATAATTTAAACAGTATTGGTTTTAGATCTTCTTTGAAACACTGGTAGAATTCTGTTGTAATCCATCTGAAATCAGAATTTTTACTCAACTGAATTTGTATTACTGCCTTGATTTGTTTTTGTTATTGTTGATATGTGTTGTTTAAGTCGTTGATCTCTTCTTGTGTTAACGTTGGGGGCATGTGTACATTATGCTAATGAGAATGAAGGCAAGACAAGATGCAAGAGTGGAAGCAGTCAGACACAGAAACAGAGCCATGCTGAAGACAGAAAAGAAGCTTCATCCTTTGATTGTCAGATTATCAATGTTTCCTCTTAAAAATTTAGGTTTTTATCAGCTATGCAGCAAATAGAATCCAAACCTAACCTCCAAAAAGAGACAAGAGGCTCCCATAGTCCACATATCGGGGAAAAGCCCTGCTACCTCCAGGGTATGCTTGTTTATTGCTTCACACACAATGTATCTGCAGAAGGGAACATGGGCAATCTGAGGCCAAATCTGCTGACCCACACAAGATAGGACTTGTTATTCCGCCTCTGGAAAGATTTAGATGTGATCTGGTCTCTGTCCCAGAGACTCTGCTAGTGATAGGGTGGCCACAGGCATGGGAGGAAGGCGAAAGGTAGACTTGGTCCTCTCCTCCAATTTAGCCATATGGTAAAGATAAGAAACAAGACCATTATAGGCATTTTGTCTATAAATACCTGAAAAAGGAATTCTAGTGCAGTAAGGTAAACTGGCAATGCACCAGCCTTCTAGGGAGGCGGTGAGTATAACCCACTAATGATCCAGTGCTCCTTAGAGTTGATCCACAATTTCAGTTGTTTTCTAGTATTCAGTTCTCTCCAGATGAAATAA